TTTTACCTTTTCTTTTTCATGGACCTATATTACTGTTGTCTGCAGTGCTCTCAGAACATTTTGGGATCAGAAGAACATATGCACCATGCATACTGACCTGAAGCCCATCTTCAAGACAATCCCTCCAGCCTGGTTACGGATGAGAAAGCCATCCTTATTCAAATCAAGCAATTCTGTCTTCAGCAGGTCAGCTTTACGTAGGGAGGCAATATAATAGCACCATGCAGTCACTGCTGCAATCACTAGAATCACACCAATAACTCCAGCCCCCACCAGAGGGCGACTGTCCTTGTCTATCTTCTTGATGGGCATGCCATCAGTAATTGTTCCTCCTGCGCCTCCTGGGACTACTTGGTACATTCTGAGTCTTCGTTTTTGAATTAACAGTTGAAAAGCTGATAAAACTGCAGGCTAATATGTTATACAGACTATAGAAGACATTTGGCAGACAGAGAACAAAAGTAAATAACTTGCTAAATTTGTGCAAAATTGAGTCTTGCATCCATTTTTCCTTCTCTCAATGTAACATTTTCCTCTTGTTCATTATGAGCCTGAGGGAAAAGGAGTGGCAAAACGTGTCAATGTAAAAGGTTGAAAAAGTCCAAACAAAAATCTACTTGTCATGCAGATGTAGGAATCACAGTACAAATTCCAGCATTATGTATTCAAAAAAAAAAAACTTTAGCTTTGATATCGGCCTGAATTGGTCTGCTGGGAGGTAAAGGCATAAACAAAAGCAGTTTATTCATGCTGCCAAGGTTTCTCACTGAGGCAGTGTGTGAATTGACTGCACCAGAGGACAACACAAGGGCCTCTGGGTCTGCAGTATTCAACGCCACCTGCAAAACTTTGAGACTGGCTAAGTGCCACCAGACACACTTGGTTGAAATGAAAAGCACTGTTAATGGACAATGTTTTCTACTGAAGAAAGACAGAGCTGAACTGCCAGTGCAGAGGCTCCCTCTTTATGTTTTTGAGGGAAATGTACAGCGCACTAATAAGATGTAACAGTGACTGCCCACCTTTTCAGTGGCCTGGGGATCCGTCTCATTTTGTCAAGTCACTTTAAACAAAAAAAAAAATCTATAAAGATATTTGAATCAAAACAACTAAATAAATGTTTTGATTCAGAACATTACATTCAAGAAGTAAAAAAAGGTTGTACTTGTAATTAGGGGTGTGCGTTATATATTGTCTATGATAATATCGTAATTGTGGTTTAAATGATATGCGATTTGACATTATCAAGTATATCACAAAAACCAAACACACCCAGAGAGTATACGCATACACTATGAGATGTAGATTAGACTACTGTGTGTGACCATTTAGAGTTCACACTTTCACTGCATGATTTAGTCTTTTAAAATACATTTAGAATTCCACGAGAATTCAAGATTACTTTTAGATGTGTTATTTTATATGCGTTACTGTTGTAGTGTTTCGTTACTGAATCAATCAGCCGTTAGAACTAATCGTTTGAAGGAATGACTCAATGACTCACTCATGCAGTGATGTGCCGCCACCTACAGCTGACTTTAGGTTTATATTTAAAGTAAGCTATATTTCCCCTTTTTTCCCCAAATCATTTAAAATATCAGTATTCAAAGTTTTTTGGGGGGGGGGGGGGGGGGGTTACAAAACAACAACATCAAAACATGAATTATGCATTTGTAACTGCAGTAGAGGTCTGCACAGGCTTTAAAGTGAAGCCCGAACCCGAGATCGTCTGACCCGACCCGACCCGACCCAAGCGGCACAGTTAAATTTAGAGCTCGAACCCGACATCTTTTTTTCCCCCCACAACGAATAGCCAATTTTTTTAAAAATGCTGTATTTCACGATTGCATGCAACGGTCAGTAAACAAATACATGTAAAGAAACACAATCATTAAGGCTCGGCCAGTTCACAAGGCAAAAGAAAAAACACTTACCAGTTATGAAAGTTTATGAACATCAGGTGCAGCGGTCACAAATATTCTGCCGAGTTTTTGAATGGTTGTATACGACAAGACGATAATTCTTCCATCGTTCAAATTAGGGTCATTTTCATCAGTTGAGGCCCGTTAGCATTCGGCCTGCTTTAAATCAGACACAGAGATGCAGTGCGGTAAGATCGCATTTATTTGAATTAATTAATTATATAATTTATTTGAATTAGCAAAGAGAGAGATGAAAGTTGCGTGTGTGAACCAGCGTCTGCGCGTCTCTCTCTTCAAGCAAAGAGGCTTACTTCAAAAACAGCGATTTTACCCCCTCATTGCAGAGAAATATAACGTTGCGAGTCAGTAGCCTGTCGAAGCTATTTTACTAATAAATGTTTCCGTGCTGTTTTGTCGCGTGCAATAATGTGTGTGCGTGCGTCTATGAAAGCAGCGTAGCCTACTGCATATAGTTTTAGTTTAGCTATAAACCCGAGCCCGACCCGAACCTGAAGCTATTCATTAAACATGAACCCGAACCCGAAACCCAAAAGTATTTCGGGACCCGTCGGGTTCGGGTCGGGTAGCAGACCTCTAAACTGCATTCATGTCCTGCATTAAACAGGCTGTGTTAATGCATCTAAATGCCACTTCAAATGCAGATTCTGTGCCACCTCTGCATTGCAAACACACATTTTGTTGATACTGATTTAATTTGATTAACAACAGCCCTACAGTAGCTAAATATTTGCATACGGATTAAATTTTAGAATTTGACACAAAAGATGATGCATACATTTAATTAGGTTAGAAAAAAATTGGCCTTATAAAAGGTAAAAATGCCCATAAAAGGTCAAAATCTATTTAAACGTAGAAGTTAATTTATGTTACTCCTGCAAACTAACCATCTCACAGATTATGAAGAATATCAAAAGCTTTGGGAGTCAGCTGTCCAAATCCAGGCAAGATACCAGCACAATAACAAGAAAACGTTTCTGATGGGATGAAGCAATCATGTATTATCTCACAGCTCTCAAGTAAACATCATTTTGCTGATTCGGATCATGTGACTATGAAAACAAAAACTGGTTATTCAGTCTTTGCTACCTTATTTTATTCCAGATAGAAGCTCAAAAAGGGGCAATGACAGTACTGTACATACATACATACATACACACACACACACACACACACACACACACACACACACACAATGTAAATAGGTCAGAGTTGTATCACCACGTTGTATGATGAGTAACCTTTTACTAAAATAGCCAAGCACTGGACACACGATTAATATTGGCTGACCTCTTAAAAAGGCTTGCATGCTTCTTATTTTAATAACTCAGAACAGATGAGACCTAACACACAGATAGGTTATCACATGGGTCAAAGTGTAACACAAGTACTGAGATATAATGTAGTAGTCACTACAATAACATTAGAATAGATCTAAAACTCATTAAATGGTCACATTATCATGGGACAACGACAAAGGAACATGAAATTACAACATGAAATGAAATAACAAGACAGCCAGTGGTCGATGTATCAGGCAAGGGGGGAGTCTACTGTAAAACAGCGGCTGACAGGAGGAATTCGCGATTTAAAATTGCAAAACATTTGCAGTTAACGTTACATTAAATAACATACTTACCAGCTCGAGGACTGTTGGTTTTGTGTCTTGTTGACATGTTCCCTCGACCAATTCAAGACGCTGAAAACCCCGTGTCTTGTTATGGGAGGAGTTTATGTGGCGTCTCGCTCTTCACACAAACTCTGCAACTCTGGGAAACTGAGTTTTATAGGCTACTCAGCGAAAGAGAAAGTGGTAATATTGCGGTTTGGGTTTGATTGCCTGCCAGCAGCTATAAATATACAAAATGTCGTGTTGTATGTGTTGATTAGTCTAACAAAGAAAACAGCGCTTAACAAGTTTGTTTTCTGTGGATCTCAAAAATATACAAAAGAATATCCCATGGTAACCCGCCATCCCGCCAAAATACCAGGTAACGTTAACGTTACTACGATCACTAACGTTACTTTAAAACTAAAAAGCGACTTTATTTTAATATGTGGATCGTTAAAGAGTGTGGTATGAAAATACATAAATACATTTTTCTATATTATTATTATTAAATAGGACATTTTATTTTAAAGTATATTTTAGCCATTTTCTAAATAAATAAAATGGTTTTATAACGCGTTTAAATACATTTTTGATGACAGCGGTGGCAAAGTTTTCATTTTTATGGTCTTTTTAACCTATAATGGCAGCCTATAATGCGTGGTTTTGAACAGAGTAACTATTTGAACCAGTTGTCAAAATATATTTGCAATGTATCAACTGATTTGACTGGTGTGAGTTTGGTTAAATAAATTAATTTAATGCAACCTATTTACGAATGTAACATATTTTATAAAAAAGTGTTTTCTACCCCTGGGGCAGATGTTGGGATGTTAAAGGGGTCATATGATGCTATTTCAATTTTTCCTTTCTCTTTGGAGTGTTACAGATCTTCTTTGTGCACCAAGAGCTTGTAACACTCTATATTATTATGGCCAATCACAGCACACCTAGCTTTTTCAGACCGATGAGCTTTGTAAAAATGTACGCGTTTCAGAAAGGCGGAGCATAGAGGAGAAACAATAATGTACAGTATGTGGAAAATAATGTGTTTTTTAACCTTAAACCGCATAAACACATTTCATTACACCAAATACACAAAATAATGTTCTTTTTAGCAACATCATATGACCCCTTTAATGTAAGTTGAAGCTGTCGTATTTACGTTGTATAAAAACTATAGCTACCATGGTAATGTTTGTAAGACAAAATAATAACAAACATTTAACAGGCACATCATAAACCTTGTTTATTTGTCGTGCAATGCACATTTACATCCAAAAATACATTTTAAAGTCAATAAAATTAAGCTGCACCCAAGCATATTTTACAAGGCAGGATATCCAAACACATAACATAGGCCTACCTCAATAATACACTGTAAAATGACATTATCAAACTGACAATAAATGAAAAAAAAAAAGTTATAAAATGCACAAACACTGTGGCTTTTAGTAGTGCTTTGCTTCTGATACAAACTCTGGGTGGATGATGTAGTGTCCAACTTTATATGGTTTCACCACATGGAAACAGCTGTGTCCTTCACTGCAAACCAGAACATCTGGATTTAAAAGGGATAATCTCAGACATTCAGAAACATTAAGAGCCTTGTTTATGCTGAAACACACATTTACAGTTTAGCAGAATGGCGTGATTACATTAAAAGCACTGAATCAAAGCATCAAGTTATAATATGTTTGAAAGAGCATAGCTGATCAATCTCTAGTGGCTGTTCATAACTGAAAAGGGATTTGGAATGATTTATCTGTTTTATGTATGTATTAAATAGTTGTATTGTTGTTAGTATGTTATATTGTTTTTTAATAAGCTAAAATTGTTTAAATTAGTTGTTTAATAAGAAATGCTTTTTAGCATCAAATCAGCATATCAGAATGATTTCTGAAGGATCAGGAGGCACTTAAGACTGAAGTAATGGCTGCTAAAAAAATCAACATTATAATCACAGGAATAAATTAAATTTTAAAAAAGTTTTTAATAGAAATCATTTATTTAAAATGATAATAATATTTCACAATTTTACTGTTTATCTGAGTTTAAAAAAAATAAATGCAGTCTTGGTGAACAAGAGAGGTGTATAATATATTATAATTATAATATAATTGTTTTTTGTTATATTTTTGTTTTTATTTATTTATTTATTGTTTGCTTGCTGTTGTTGTTTTTTCAAGGTTTTGTAATAATATACCTGCGATCAGTTGTGAATTTTGAGCGTGATCTTCTGTGATGATGGGTAACCTGGCGTTTGAAGGGTTTTAAAGATGGCATGCTGTCCATCTGTTGGTTCCAGGCTGATCTGATACGATCTGTGTCTGAATATTTCCTGAGTACAAATAAGAAATGATCCTAAAAACTATATGAATTTGAGAACAAAATCACAGCATGATGGCTTCAGAAACTGATAGTGTCGTAGGCAGAAAAAAATACAGTAGGAATGTTCAGGTATTCACTGCGTTTGAAGACATTAATGAAAACAAACTGCAATACTGGATATTTATCTTGTTTATTCAGACACAAAACATCAAATAATATTTAGGTTCAACTAAAACTAATTATGCAATGCCCATGCATCAAGCAGAACTGCAAAAGCATTACCCTTGTGTGTTTGTGACTGTTGCATGAGCAAAGTTGGTTTGTTGCGGTTTGAGAAGCCAGGCAGCAGGTGGCAGTGTACAAGCTGCAGACGAGGCCTCAGGTGGTTTGGAGTCTTTTTGTGATGAGCTCTGCATCAACTGTCCATGTGCTGTTTGTACGTCTTAAGGTCAATACCATGCAAAAAGAAAGAAAACATTGATACGTTGTAGATATATATGTCCCAATATATACAAGTATATTTTATAGGGGAGCTGGTGCTGAACACTCAAATATTTGCAACTACACTGATTTGATCAACGACAGTGATTTTTTTTTGACTCAACCTCAGCTGTAGTGACACAGATTGTATTGATACCTGGATACTGGACTGATATGTGTCTGACTGGAGGTAGAAAAGAGGTAGATGTTGTCTGAAAGTGTTTCCGTGAGCCATATCCTGTCTGCAGTGTTCTTGGTATCAGGAAGTCCTGGGTGGCAGAAGGGATTCAGAAAACCAACCCTAAGTGGCACTTAATAGCCTGTAACACTGACCCAGCAGAGGTTAGATTGTTTTGCTAGCACAGTGAGAGTCGATCCCATCCTTGATCCCTGTTCAGTGGTTTGGAAACAGTGTAACCGGAGCTTCCTGTACAAGGCCCCCCACATGTAGGTTGTTTTGCAGAATCAAGCGGCTACAATGCTCTCCGGGCTGGTGAATTATTAATGTTTTGTCAGGGCAGTTAAATTCAAGTTCCTTGAAAAATGTTGCCTGTTGTTTACAGTGCTTTTCTTACCGCAATACTGCATTTTAACCCAATTGTTTCACATATACAGCTGTGTGTCATTCACACATTAGCAGCAAAATAATGCTAAGTGAGAGAATGCAAACAAGCAATCCCCTCACAAAATGCAAAACAAGTAAATAATGAATGTAACCCACCTTAAAGATTTATATTATAATAATAAGATACAAACTGATAATAAGAAATCTTTCTTGAGCAGCAAATCAGGATCATGTAACTCTTAAGACTGGAGTAATAGCGGCATTGCCATCACAGGAATGAATACAATTTTAACATACAGTACATTCAAATAGAAAACATTTATTTTCAATTATAATAATGTTTCACAATTTTACTGTTTTTACTGCACTTTTTTACCAAATAAATGCAGACGTGGCGAGCCAAAGAGACTTTTAAGAAAACTTATCAACCTCAAATCAAGTAAATATATATATTAGTCTAAATATATATATAAATATATATTAGTCTAAACAAATATCACTGAAACCCCTAATGCCAAAAGAGACCCATGTATATATAGAACAAATGTCATTTATAGTGGTCAACATTTGTTGTAATAGTCCAGGAAGCTCTTACCGGCCGTGGATGAGGATTGTTCCTGCGATATGCAGAGGAAGGTCTGGGCCGGGTAGGTTTGACTCGAGCCGGGTAACTGAATTCCTCTGAGTAGGTGCTGCTGAAGTGTAGCTGAGGACCCATTTCCCTTGTGTACAGTAAGAGTGTGTCTGCAGCTGCTAGACTGATCAGCCCTACCTCACTCCCTCCCTCTCTTCAGCTCCTCTGCTCCTCTTCCTCTCTTCTCTATCTTAATCCCTCATCTTTGCATGGAGTATTTGGATTAATTGACTCAAAAGTGAAAATTCTGCAATCGTTTACTCATCCTCCAGGTTTTTAATGACATAAAGTTGAAGTCAATTATGACAGCGTGTTTCCTTCAGCTCTCCTATTTCATCCATTTATCACTCTGCCCTTTTTGGCTGTCACTGATTTTGAGATCAAACAAAAGATTCAAATCACATTTGAAATTGTAGAACACACAAAGCACATCCTAAGCTATCATATGAGATGTTATTCTGGCCTTCTGGTCCTGTTCTGTATTACACGCTCCACTGAAGAGAGAAAAAGAGAGCTGGCAACTGAATAATCTGCATAGATATCCGTCTGTCACCAGGATTGAGCCACCCCAGGATTCATTCCCCCCTCAGCCAGTGATCAATAATTCAAGCCTTAGATCCTGTGTGTCTTTTGTGGCCCCTGTTCAGCGGGACCTGACTGAGAGTTAAACAGATGAGGTGCTATCTGTTTGTTGTCTGGACAAATGCCAGAATTAGAGCTGGGCAGAATTTTTCATATAATTAATTATAATTAATACTGATTATAAGAATAAAAATTTAAAGAAATAAATACATTTTTTAAAAGAAAGAAATTACAGATTTTTTTTATTTATTTTTTATAAGCATTCCACCACTTTGAAGGGAAAAATAAATGACCATATCAGCAAGTAGTTATGCAGGATGGGACCTGTTTTCTAGGATAGGAGAAAAAAAGAGTTACTTCAAACTAAATAGCGAGAGATAAATGTGACATTTTTATATGTTTATTTAAATTAAAATTTACAGTAAAATATAAATATTGTAAAATATTATTACAATTTAAAATAACTGTGTTCTGTTTTCAAATATTTTAAAATGTAATTTATTACTGTGATGACAAAGATGAATATCATTACTCCAGTCTTCAGTGTCACATCCTTCAGAAATCATTCTAATATGTTGATTTGCTGCTCAATACATTTTGAAATGTTGAAAACAGTTGTGCAGTTTAATAATTTTGTGTGAAGCATGATAAATGTATCAGGTTTGTCTAATGAATAGAAAGTTTAAAAAAACAGCATTTCTTTGAATTAGAAAACTTTTGTATCATTATAAATCTCTTTATTGTCACTTTAGATCAATTTATTACATCCTTGCTGAATAATATATATATATCAAAGCCCAGAACTGCTGAAAGCAAGTAAATTTCCCTTTCTCTGTCTATGAATCATGCTACTACAGCCATAAATGTCCAGACATTAAACTCCACAGTAACCATAACATGATACATTAGGGGAATTTGGTAATGTCATTGTAGTAGATACGATATTGTGGATGACAGTAATGAATGACTAATCCTGTGTGAATGAAAGGAGTTCTTCATTCACAAGAGATGATCAAGAGAGTCATTTAACTGAGCATTTGGCACTTATCCACAGTCACTCTCAGCCACACAAAATATCCTCCGTAGCTCTGCCAACACAAGTAAATCAAATATGCCATCAGTGACCTATTATGCACTGGACAGCTTTGAGGTTACTCAGATAGTTCCACAGGGAAAAATGTTCCATACATACTTAATGACAGGAAATGGGTCTGAAAGGCCACCACCAGAAGTTCTACTTTTTTAATAATCACTCACATAGAGAAATAACCTATGGGTGCTCTCAAAATGAGTCCAAACAACTGATAAAAACATCACAATAATCCACAAGTAATCTACATGACTGCAGTCCATCAATTGACATCTTGTGAAGTGAAAACATTTGAATTTGTAAGAAACAAATTCACCAAGGTGTTTTAACTGCTTCTAAACAGTGCTTGATCTGTGCATATTCCTCTCCTGGTTGAGACGAGATGCCTTTTTCACAGGAGAAAGCACTATTATGAATGTATGTATTTTAGCCGGAAGCAATGATTTGAAGTTAATGATCGATCTGTTTATAACAAACACACAGCTTTCTGCTTCACAAGACATTAACAGACGAACTGGAGTTGTTTGGATTACATGTGGATTATTGTGATGTTTTTATCAGCTGTTTGAACTCTCATTCTGACGGCACCCATTCACGGCAGTGGATCCAATGAGCAAGTGATGTAATGTTAAACTTCTCCAAATCTGTTCCAATGAAAAAACAAAGAGATTTACATATTGGTAACTTGAGGGTAAATTTTCATTTTTGGGTGAACCATTGCTTTAACAAAATTTTTATATATTTATCTTTGAAACATTATCAACTGTTCATACACTTTTCTTTCATATAGGTGTTCAGTGACTACAATTCCACTACATATACTGTAAGTGACTCAGTGCCACATTGAACAGGCCAAAGATCTGTTGTAGTGTCTGGACCACTCAAACAAACAATATATATTTTGTTAGCTAGATTTAACAAATACTCTGTAACACCCCAGGAAGCCGAACAGGCCCCTGGTTCCATAGCAACACTGACACCAGATACATTTACGATCTAAAGGAATGTGAGCAGAGACGCTCACTGCATTTTCCTGAGTAATTCATAGGAAAACCTTTCTTTGAATGAACAGTGTATCCTTCAGGTCATTGTGTATATTATTGTCCTCGTGTATTTGGTCTTTGAGAGTGTATACTGTTTTATGCAGGCTTATGATCGAAATACTTACTCCTGTCAACTTATATATAACCCTACCATGTTTAGTATCTATGAATTCGTATTCGGATGATCTAATTGAGAGTGTATATTGTATGTTTACACCTTCGCAACATATTAGTGTTCTAAGAATCTTTATTAGTTTGTACATCTGCACCCCAAGCGAATTACATGTGCATATTACCATGCCGTTGAACAAAGGGTCGTAAAGACATTGCAAAAGTTCTGCAAACAAAAATAAATTATTTAAACAAATTAACCAAACCACACATTAAAGAAATATGAGATTACAGATTCAGATTACTGATAGACTTTCAATTCCAACCTATGCAGGTATAATTAGCACACTGACCCCAGCACTCTAATTAGTTTGGTATACATTACCCACAGCTCACCTGGATTGCATAATAAACTACTCCAAGGTACCCAGCTATACAGCCACCCAAAAACAGGTCAAAGGCGGCAGGCTTCACCCTAAAAAAGCGAATAGTAAAACGGGAAAAAAAAATCACTATAAATACAAAAAAAATTAACACTAGAATTTCATAATAACTATTAATTTCTAAAATAAAATAAAATGAATTAATTTTAGTTTTAGTTCTTAATACATGGTTTATTATTAAAACTAAACTAACTAAACTAAAATAAAAAACGAATATACAAAACTATAATACCACTGTCTGGATCCAACTACACTACAAAAATAAAGGTGCTTCAAAAGGTTCTTCAAGCGATGCCATAGAAGAACCCTTTTTGGTTCCACAAAGAACCATTCAGTCAAAGGTTCTTTAAAGAACCTTTGACTGAATGGTTCTTTGTGGAACCAAAAAGGGTTCTTCTATGGCATCGCTTGAAGAACCTTTTGAAGCACCTTTATTTTTAAGAGTGTAGTACAATAAGGGATTTTAAGTAATCCCTATTTACATGATCTTTTTCTAAGAATATTCTGTTTCGTTTAGAAATGCATCATATTACTAATGTAAAAAAGTGTTGTTAATGCTGTTTCAGGTTGACTTTAAAACCATCTTTGCCTCAAAACAACCAGTGAGAAGACTCACCTGTACATCATCATTGGTTGTTTCATTTGATCAAAGAATGTGATTTCAGGATCCCTATAAAAGTCAGACAAAACAGGCTTAAAATGTCTGTATCTGTGTCTGTGAGTTTGTAGTTTTTCTGTTTTCAGAAAGTGTGTCGGTAACGTCGGTAAACTTTTGCTACAGGCATGGTAAAAAGAATTCTGGCTCTGTGAATGTATGCATATTTGAAATCTGCATCTGTAAACCTACAGAAGTCTTTTGAAGTCTTGCTTCAGGCCACTGATGAGTTGAAACATTTTGGCCGTGTCTGTGTGTGCGTACCTTCGGTCCTGGTGGAACGTGTCTCTATGGACCAGAACTCTTGCTCCAGGCTGCTAAACAAGAGCTTGTGTTCTGGTTCTCTGTCCATCAGCTGAACAGTATAACAAAAAGTTGTGTGTCTGATTGGTCCAAATGCTACAATAAAAAAGAACCGGCTCATAAAAGTTATTTGTTTAGGAAATTGGACTGATTGTGCTGCGTGTTTGTGATTCAATAAAATGCGTCATGAGAGTCATTCATTCTGGTATAACACTGTAAGTTTCTCGCTGAATAAAGCTTTGGCAGTTCTGAATTACAACCAGTTGTCAATTCCCAACACTACATTCAATTCTGTTTTCATTGGTGGGGCATTGAGAGGCTGGCTATATGAATATGTTCATTTCTGGCCAAGGTGTTTGAAAAGGTCAGTTCCCACAGCAAGTGAACCATGCCAATTGCAACATACATGAATCATTCTGAATTATGTTTGAAGGGAGTGTGATTTATGTTGTGACCAAAAATGATTAAGCATTTATTAATATATATACTGAAAAAAAGGTTCCTTCAATCTAGTTGATCTCCCTGTCTGTCTGTGTGTGTGTGCGTGCGTGCGTGCGTGCATGTGTGTGTGTGTGTGTGTTTGTGGTGACTTACAGGAGCAAGACCAAATGTGTCATAATGGGCCGTAATTACAATAGAGGGTGGGTCTTCTCCAGCTCCAGGAAGTACTCCCTTGGAATGAAGCAATAAATCGACTTGACTGACAGGTTTAAATATAGCCCAACACTATTAGGTTTTACAGAAAGGAAAGAGTTGCTGTGTGTGGCCAGCTGTCATTCTCACCTCTAAAGTAATGATGGTGGTATCGGTAATAGTCTTGATGGGGGAGTTGTTGTTCACTAATAATTGGAAAGCAGTGGCAGTGATGATACTACGGAGAACTGAGAAAAAAGAAAGTTGATTCACATGGCTTAAAATTTACAGTAAATCTGCTTATATGAATATTTACTTAGTATAGCACGTAGTACACTCAAAAATATGTAGGCCTAAAGTCTTTTAAGATTTATGTATTCAAATTACATTTATAATTTCCATTTGGATTGCATGGTTTTAATCTAACCAAGAAACTAAAAAAAAAAAAAACGAATAAACTTAATGTGATGCATGCTTGTCAGTCATACATAAATGAAACATGTAAGATTTCTGTAATAGTAATAACAAACGGAATTTGCTTTAAATACACAATAACCAGGTTTATATACTTATCAACTGAAAATTTTAATATTTCGTTTTAATTGAATATTGCTTATTCCATATCATATTTTAACCATTTTCATACTTTTTAACAGATTAAATTATGCTATTTGGACAGAATTATGCTAATTCTAAACCATCTGAATAAATACATTTTTTAAATATATTTAAATATTTAAATAAAATCAAATAGATGCAAAGTTAATAATAAACAATGCCTTTTTTGGGAAAAAAATGCAGAAATCTCTTTCCTGTTTCATTTATGTTTGACTGACTGGACTATTGTAATGCACTGCTAGGTGGTTGTCCTGCATCTTCAATAAACAAACTACAGGTAGTCCAAAATGCAGCGGCTAGAGTCCTTACCAGGTCAAGAAAATATGATCATATTACGCCAATTTTACAGTCTCTGCACTGGCTACCTATTAAGTTCCGTATCAGTTACAAAATATTATTACTTACCTATAAGGCCCTTAATGGGTTAGCTCCTGCGTACCTAACTAGTCTTCTACCACGCTACAATCCATCACGCTCCCTAAGGTCGCAAAATTCTGGACTTTTGGTAGTACCTAGGATAGCAAAGTCCACTAAAGGAGGTAGAGCTTTTTCGCATTTGGCTCCCAAACTCTGGAATAGCCTTCCTGATAACGTTCGGGGTTCAGACACACTCTCTCTGTTTAAATCTAGATTAAAGACACATCTCTTTGGCCAAGCATTCAAATAATGCATCTCATAATCTTTTACTGCAGTCATAATCTTTTACTGCAGTTATATCTAATCAAATGCACATTATTATTCGTTAGTTTGGGTTAAACAAATCATTTTTGCTTGGTTGGAACAGCAGCTACGCTAATTATGTTTGTATTTGTTTCTCTGTCTTTTGCCATGGGATTGACATCCCGTGGTAACTAGGATTTACACAAGCTTCAGTCTGGATCCAGAACACCTGAGAAGAGATGATGCAACTCCTCAGAGGACCTCAGATGATGCCAACCCTGAAACAACATCCAGAACTACCACATTTTGCTATAAGTTTGATTGCATCATATAATAATTGCTGTTAATATTGTTCATCGTCTGTTTTATTACGTCTTATATTGATTTTTCCGTTCTGCTGGTTCGTCTGGTCAGAGGAGAACTGGCCCCCCGACTGAGCCTGGTTTCTCCCAAGGTTTTTTCTCCATTCTGTCACCGATGGAGTTTTGGTTCCTTGCCGCTGTCGCCTCTGGCTTGCTTAGTTGGGGACACTTCATTTCCAGCGATATCGTTGACATGATTGCAAAGATATTATTTAAACTGAGCTGGATGTTGACATCACTGTATTCAATGATGAACTGTCTTTAACTGAAAAATGAGTGTTTACTATTGTCACTTTTCATTATTGACACTATTTTCCTAATTAATGCTGTTCAGTTGCTTTGACACAATCTGTATTGTTAAAAGCGCTATATAAATAAAGGTGACTTGACTTGACAGTTTATTTTTATGTTAAAAAAGTGTCATTCAAATGAAAATAATTTTTTTATATCCAATTCAAATACATAAATCTTAAATTTAGGCATAAATATTTACTTAGCATTGCTGTTTAATTAATAATGGCGCAATTAATTTAATTTTATTTTATTTTGCAAGTCATTCACTCACAGGCATCTATGGCAGTTTTTGTTATTTTGTTTAATTTTGTTTTGTATTTTATCTTTAACCAGTCAATCATAATAATAAATGCATAATAATTTACAGCTAAAACATTACATTATCTTTTTTATGACTGCTGGTACTCGGTAGCATCCCTCTCAGCTCTCACTAGGAAGCAGACTTAATTGCTGCAGCCTGAGTGACTTCTTCATACATACAGAGCAGCTGGTCGTCCTCTTGGACCACCTACGCAGGCATGAGGGTCTCCTTCTGCAGGACCTGAGATTCAGCCACCATAAAGCAGTGCATTCGTAATTAAATCAAGAAATTAGATTTTCCAGTGGTGTGTTTCACATATTGCTAAATCAGTAAGGATTTCAGAATAAGTTGAATTCTGTGGTTTGGCATTATTAAAAAGACATCATGGCTATTGCTGAATTCAGAATCACATACTAGTATACTGCTCTTACTATTTTTATCATGTCTTTCTATGGCAGGATTAGTACAAGTAGTATGTGATTCTGAATTCAGCATATGTTTGAAATAACATACTGCCTGTTTCCCACAATGCATTGTGCTTGACTTGACATTTTCAGTCTGACAAATGAGCTGGAAGTAATATGAACAATAACCTTTTGACTTGTAAACTACCAGTCACAAGTTTGGAATAATTACAATGTTATGGTTTTAAAAGGTTTTATGCTCAAGTCTCTAATCCTCGCCAAGGCTGCATTTATTTGATCAAAACTACAGGAAAAACAGCAATATTATTACATTTTATTACAATTTAAATAACCGTTTTCTATTTTAATATTTTTAAAATGTCATTTATTCCTGTGTTGGCAAAGCAGATTTTTTTAGCAGCCATTACTCCAGTCTAATATATTGATTTGGTGCTCAGTTATTAACAATGGTACTTTTTATCATCAGTGTTGAAAACATTTGCTGCTTGATTTTATGTGGATTCTTTGATGAATAGAAAGTTTAATAATAGAAATAGAAATATTTTGTACCATTATAAATGTTTGTGCTGTCACTTTTGACTAATATAAGGCATCCTTGCTGAAGAAAATAAATTATTTCACAAAAATACTGTTTTACTGAACAGCTTTGGTGAGCATAAAAAAATTAATAAAGAATAAAATAAATAGTTAATTATTCCAAACTTTTTACCGGTAGTGTATTTTTGCACAAAATGGGATTAAAAACTCCATTCCTTTTTCACTTTTTATTCTTCTTATCCATAACACAACTATTATTGGAAAAGTCTACATTGCAAATGATGTGTTGTAAATGCACCATTGTAGACTTAAATATATGTTTATAATTATTTTATAATTGAAATTGAAATAATTTTCCTCACTCTCATGTCATCCCAAACCTGTATAACTTTTCTTTTCTGTGGAACATAAATATATGATATTTCGAAAAAATTATAATTTTTTTGTGTGAACTATGCCTTTAAACTGTGGTGTGTTACCATGTTTATCCTGATGTAAATTGTATTGCTGCATCCTGTATGCGATGAACTCATAGGAGGATGCAGCCGGCAGGGCAGACGCATGCAGGAGATGCACTGACAGCAGCAGAAGTGCCGCCACTTTCCAGGTTTGAAGAGTCCACCAAAAGACATCTATGAAAAATGCAAGATGAAATATTAAAAAGAACAATAAACTTATTTTGTCCAAGAATCCTTAGAATCCATGGACTGCTGAGTGTCCGTACACACTTATAATAAAATCTATAGACATTTCAAGACATTACTAACTACTTGAATGAACTTTAACGTGTATAAAATGAACTTAACTGCAATAATTATGTTTAAGTAATATTTTAAAATATCAAAAATGTATTTTAAATTGGCAGTTTCTGGGCCTGTAAGGTTTGCAAATCAGGCACAAAAATATCTTTTAAATATTGACATTTACAAACAAATAAACTATTAAATGCCAGAATTCGTTTTAATCACAAATAGCAATTCATCTAAAAGCAAAAAGCCATTTTTATCAAAAAGATCCAATATTATGCATGGTGTAAGTTTTTTAATCATGCAGAATATGGACACAATGTAATGAGCAATAACAATAATCGCTGAGTATCGACTACAACCTTAGCACTTCACATCATTAGGCTAATTATAATGAAATTTGCTGCCATGCGTAAAACTTGATTAAAAGAACAGTAGATGTAATAAAATATTATAGCAGAACTTGGCCCAACATGATCCTAGTTCAAGACTGGAACTCACCCAAAATATAAGTTAGATCTTCCTCAGTGTGGAAGAACGATCTGTCTTGTGCTCTGAGCAGGATGTGATGTCCGAAGCATGGCCGGGACAAGGCTTAGAGAGGCCCGCGTGTTGTAAATGCACCATTGTAGACTTAAATATATGTTTATAATTATTTTATAATTGAAATTGAAATAATTTTCCTCACTCTCATGTCATCCCAAACCTGTATAACTTTTCTTTTCTGTGGAACATAAATATATGATATTTCGAAAAAATTATAATTTTTTTGTGTGAACTATGCCTTTAAACTGTGGTGTGTTACCATGTTTATCCTGATGTAAATTGTATTGCTGCATCCTGTATGCGATGAACTCATAGGAGGATGCAGCCGGCAGGGCAGACGCATGCAGGAGATGCACTGACAGCAGCAGAAGTGCCGCCACTTTCCAGGTTTGAAGAGTCCACCAAAAGACATCTATGAAAAATGCAAGATGAAATATTAAAAAGAACAATAAACTTATTTTGTCCAAGAATCCTTAGAATCCATGGACTGCTGAGTGTCCGTACACACTTATAATAAAATCTATAGACATTTCAAGACATTACTAACTACTTGAATGAACTTTAACGTGTATAAAATGAACTTAACTGCAATAATTATGTTTAAGTAATATTTTAAAATGTCAAAAATGTATTTTAAATTGGCAGTTTCTGGGCCTGTAAGGTTTGCAAATCAGGCACAAAAATATCTTTCAAATATTGACATTTTACAAACAAATAAACTATTAAATGCCAGAATTAGTTTTAATCACAAATAGCAATTCATCTAAAAGCAAAAAGCCATTTTTATCAAAAAGATCCAATATTATGCATGGTGTAAGTTTTTTAATCATGCAGAATATGGACACAATGTAATGAGCAATAACAATAATCGCTGAGTATCGACTACAACCTTAGCACTTCACATCATTAGGCTAATTATAATGAAATTTGCTGCCATGCGTAAAACTTGATTAAAAGAACAGTAGATGTAATAAAATATTATAGCAGAACTTGGCCCAACATGATCCTAGTTCAAGACTGGAACTCACCCAAAATATAAGTTAGATCTTCCTCAGTGTGGAAGAACGATCTGTCTTGTGCTCTGAGCAGGATGTGATGTCCGAAGCATGGCCGGGACAAGGCTTAGAGAGGCCCGCAGGTAAGCCTAGTGCACCATCTGGCCCAGACGGGAATAAACCAGGCTAATTAGACTTCTCCTCCAATCCCACACAATCTACAACACTTCTGCACCCCTTTCCAGTTGTTACAATTTCTTACGTCACTGAAGTCTAAACCTCAGAATTGAAAGAAATATGGTTGAATACAGGAAAGAGCCAGTTAAAAGTTGTGACACCCCTATTACCGTTTCTTTTTATTAGTATAAAGTAATACTCATATCACCAGAACTGTGAAATAAATGTGTGACCAAAAACGTCAAACTATTTTATATTTGACCTTCTTCAGAGTGGCTGACACAAGTTGATATGTTTGCTGGATACTTGCTGGCTGCTTTTTTCACTATCTGCTATAATAATAACACAAACAACAATAATAAATTAATTTTAAAAATACTTGAAACAAATACAATTTTATTTCATAAACATTTTTCTAATTCATATTCAAATTCAGTATATAAATTCTGTATACATATGCATAAAAATACGCAAGACAAGGGTGTTGCAATTGTAATTTACTGTAATTCTATTTACTGATATGATTCACTACACAGAACAACATTGTTAAATACTGGCATGGAAACTGTTCACGTCTTTACAATCAGATTTATCGACAGCAGAGGGAAAAATTGTAGGAAAGAAAAGAGAACAAAAAACAAAATGTAAAAAAAAAAATCCTGTATATCAATAAATTAAAAACATACCACCGGCAATAAATAACATGAACCATTGTATAGCTTGACTTAAGGCAGTCTACTTGTGTGTAGTAACAGAAAGCGTACAATCTCTATTAGGTGTTATACAACAGAGTGTATCTTGAACCAAAGATGCAGAGGCACGGGATGACAGACATCTTCATTCATCACTACACAGATCAGTCAGTCGTATGGCGCATCTGTAACTACCATGAAAGCTTAGAAATGGCAGGCTTAAGAGACCTTTCCGAACTCACCGAATTCTCCATCTACTGTACATATCTATCTATGGTAAGTCTACTGAACAGGCATTTTGTAGGTTTGTGCTGCGCTAAGGGCTTTACCACTGAAACATGGCCAAAAGTGGACATTTTTCCTTGTGGAATAAATTAACAATGGCATTGGCAAATGAAAACATTTGTGTAATGGTCATGCTGGTGTCAATGACACCATGAAATACACAAAAATACTGAGTGAATGCACCTCTATATGGCAGTGTAGTATGAAATACTTGCCTGCATATCAATACAACAATAAAATGTAAGCATTTAGGGATATAGGTTTGGGGAGTTTGCATTGTTGCATTTTGTAGCCATATGAAAAGCAGTAAAAAGAAAATATGTAACCGCATACTGTTATTTGGATACACCGATCCACAATAATCAAAACAAAAAGCTTGTCAATTCCTATATCAGATCTACACTACCGTGCAAGTCTCTAATACTCAGCAATTTATACAGTAAAAACAGTAATACTGTAAAATATTTTACAACGTAAAATAACTGTTTTCTATTTTAATATATTTTAAAAAGTAGTTCATTGATGGCAATATTGAAAACTGTGGAAGCTTGTTTCTGCCACAGGATTTTTTTTAAAAACTCACATTTCAGACTTTTTCCTCGCAATTCTGAGTTTGTATCTCACAATTCGGACTTTCTGAGAAGAAAAGCCAGAACTGAGAGAAATAAACTTGAGATTGCATGAAAAAAATGTCTGAATTATACGATTATTTTTTTATGGCATGGCTGAAACAAGCTTCCATTGAATACCGATTAATATTTTTGTGGTAACAATATGAATTTTTTTAGGATTTTAATGAATAGAAAATGCAAACGAAAAGCATTGATTTAATATAACAGAAATATTTTAACACCATAAATGTCTTCCCTGCCAAATTAACGCATTTTTGTTGAAAAAAAAAAACCCTACTAAACTATTAGAAAAAAAAAATCCTACTGACCTCAAACTTTTGAACAGTTGTGTATAAAACATGAAATATTAGATTACTATACTATTATATTGTAATCTCTTTTCATGAATTCTCTTAATTTGCCACATCAGATGAAAACTGGAGTGTTACTAGGTTATGTGTTTGGTGCAATGGCATTTAATTACAGCTGGCAATGGCAACTGGGTGACAATACACACAAGATGATAAGGTGCTCTGTAAATTGTACAAAATAAACAACTGTTGCATGACAAAGAAAACAGAAATACTGTAGAGAACAGTACAATCTTAAAATCGATGCAAGGACCTTCATACTTGTTGAGTGTTGTAGTTGTTGTTTTTAACAGAAGTAATATAGATTTGGCCACTGACTCAAACAGCTGAGATGAATTTATAAAGAAACAGCAAATGCAGAGTATCCTGTTCCAGAGTACTACACTTAATGTCGGACAAAATGGTACTGTACTTTCTAATTACTATAAAGACGAGAGCACAAAAGTGTCAAATTGATTTCTGGCAACATTTTGAATGCTGGCTATAAGCATTTCATGACCTTTCCATCTTTAAAATAAAGAAACAACACATTATGTGCATTCTGACAGAAATCGGATGAACAGAAATGATAGAATTGTTGTCCTGTTAAGGACAAAGATTATGGGACATGTATCTGGCAGCTGTTATTATCTATAAGTAAATCAATACAGGCTTTCTTCCCCTCCTAATACATTGCAACAATTCTCAAAACAAAGCTCTCAGAAATGATGAAAATTGTACCGAATTAACTTGTGTCTTATGTCGAGGTACATTTTAGTTTATCTTTGAAAACTAACATTTAAGTTCCTTTAATCCAGTTTAACTGTTGGGTCTGTGTGCAGCAACACTGACCGAAACACTGAACACAAAAGAATATGTTCAAAAAATAAAGTCTCTTCGTAAACACATCTCAATTATTCAATGAAATTCCCTGACTTAACAATTACATCTGCTGTCAATTTCGTAGCAGATCGGTGTCTTCTGTATGGATATCTCAATTTAAGAGAATTCCCTTTATTAGTGTTTGCTACAAAGCTACATATAATATATTAATACGTACATCTGCAATGTAAATGATCTGAGAAACAAATTCACCTGGTCACTATACACTCCCTTTCATTACAAAACAAACACATCTGTCCTAATAACATCAGAAAGCATCAGTTAAACAAAGGCAAATGTTCTTGAGCAGTCATTTCCAAAAAGGAAAAAAAAAATGTTGATTTTGCTTTGATAAACCTATAAAAAAGAGACTTGTTGTATCATTTTTAAATATGTATTATATAAGTGAAAAGGAAAACATTTCTGATTTGGTGTAAAGGGGCCCTTCCTGATGGACTGTGAGGGTATTTAAGTCAAAAACATTGGGAAAACTGAAGGTTACTGAGAAGTCTGTAGTGTGAAATGTTCATTTTTGTTCCATTTTAAAAGAGCTGTATTCTTCTAATGTTGCACCATGCATTTATATACACACCTAATTCTAGTGCCCTCTGGTGATGATACTCACGTCCTACCATAGGAGGAACCAAAGACAGTTACATACTTGTGCATTTTCATTCATTATTTTTCCCTATTTTATGTTCATTTTAATACACCCATTCTATTGTTTTTAAGTTCTTTAGTAGTTAATCTACGCTGAGGGTGCTAACTGTGCGCTTAACTCACAGGCTTGGGACAGGAGGGGTTACTGAATTTGACAGGCTATGGAGGAAGTGGCTTGGCAGCACATGCAGGTGGGGTTGACCGATTTAGGGGGGATGAGATCAAGGTCTTCATCATCTGGGATTTCGTCCAATCGGTAGCCATCCTTCAGCAGCTGGATGTTTAAGTCTTGGTTTATTTGCTGTGGCAAAAATTTTACAAAATGGTTACAGTAGCTATCAGAGAATTTAAAATATTTTAAATAATATAATCTACCAAACAAAATTATATATATATATATATATATAATTTTTGGGTGAACTGAACCTTTAAAATATTATATTATACAAAGCCACTTTAGAAAAGATGTGATGACTTGACTTAACTAAACTACAAAATAAATAAACTATTAGCAAAAATAAACAAAATAGTAAATAAAAATAGTAAAATAAAATAAATATTGGCTAAGTTTCTACTCAATTAGCAGTTGATTTATTTTAACTATGTACTGTAGAGACAAGTAAGACGGCAAAGGGTTCAAATACTTAAGTGGCTTTATTTCATTGCATAAGTACCTGGTCATTTAGACATCTCACCTCGGCTGAGGAATATCCAGATGATGAATATCTGGACATATCGAAGTCATCGTCACTAAAAAAAACAACAGGAAGTACACAGTCACAAATGAGCACCTTAATTTCAGATAAACAGCCACAGACCAATGAAATCAGCCCTTCTGCAGCAATTCAATGACTCACTTAAAAAAAACTCTGCAAACTGTTTTTTGATTCAGCAAAGATCTGTTTAGGTACAGTGGGGGAAAAAAGTATTTAGTCAGCCACCAATTGTGCAAGTTCTCCCACTTAAAAAGATGAGAGAGGCCTGTAATTTTCATCATAGGTATACCTCAACTATGAGAGACAAAATGAGAAAAAAAATCCAGAAAATCACATTGTGGGATTTTTAAAGAATTTATTTGCAAATTATGGTGGAAAATAAGTATTTGGTCAATAACAAAATTTCATCTCAATACTTTGTTATATACCCTTTGTTGGCAATGACAGAGGTCAAACGTTTTCTGTAAGTCTTCACAAGGTTTTCACACACTGTTGCTGGTATTTTGGCCCATTCCTCCATGCAGATCTCCTCTAGAGCAGTAATGTTTTGGGGCTGTCGCTGGGCAACACGGATTTTCAACTCCCTCCAAAGATCTATGATGAAAATTACAGGCCTCTCTCATCTTTTTAAGTGGGAGAACTTGCACAATTGGTGGCTGACTAAATACTTTTTTGCCCCACTGTATATCAAATATAGCTTCCATATTGAATGTTGATTTCCCTAATTTATTTTTCAACATGTGTATTCTGCCTATAATGTTTCTAGTAATATTAAACACATTTTTATAATTACAAAAGAGGTTCTATTTAGTCACAGTTACAGCAAGAGAGAGAGAGAAAAATGTGAAGATGACATTTCAGCCAAATTAATTTATCAGGAAAAATCAACAGCGACAATCTGGAGCCTTCTGCTGATTGCTGCGGTAATTACAAGTTGTTTTAATGAAGCTGAGCGCTCCAGGAATGAGTATGACAGCAACCAGTACAAGCATGTGATGGACAAAGCGCCTGAGCATGTGACAGACAGTGGGTGTACGTACTAAACGTCAGGGAATGAGTGTTACATACAGCGAGGCTGAAATGGAAAAACAGAAAGAGAGAGACAATGAAGGATGGGTGACCTAAAACATGACTTAATCACAACTGCAGGCAGCTGAGGTCACAGAGATCCAGACAGCTGGCATCACAGAATGCATTAAGTTAAGAGACCCATCTGTGTGAGACGCTGCACGCTGTGCCTGATCATCTGAACTGAACAGCAACCACGCCATTATGGCTGAACACATACTGTGACACATCTCATTACAGAAGGGTGTAGTAGGCTACACAAACGACACCGATGATTTCAAGTGCTTTGGACTTCTGTCAACAAACATGTTTTCTTGCTTTTTTTTCCAACTCTCAGGACTGGAAACTTAGAGACGAGACAAATCCTGGCCAGAATTACACTGCTAATCGTGACTCTGCACTAAGAGCATGTCATAGTCCGGAATGCTTAAAGGGATAGTTCACTAAAATATGAAAATTCTGTCTTAACTGACTCACCCTCAAGTTGTTCCAAACCTGTATGAGTGTCTTTCTTCTGTTGAGCACAAAAGAAGATATATTGAAGAATATTGGAAACCAAACAGTGGAAGTCAACAGCTACAGTCAATTGTTTGGTTACCGACATTCTTCAAAATATCTTTCTTTGTGTTCAAAAGAAACTCATACAGCTTTGGAACAAGTGAAAGGTGAGTAAATGGTGGCAAAATTTTCATTTTAAAGGTGCGCATTAACACATTAATCATTCCATATCATTGGAACCATATCATTCAAAAACGGTGTTTCCCACTATTTTCTGAAACAAAGTCATTCTAATTATGAAAATGAAGCTGCAAAACACAGTGAGCATAAGCAAGTATGCATTAAATTATTAAGCAGATTATATTAATATTAAGCAGCACAACTGTTTTAAACATTGATTAAAAAAATGTTTCTTGAGAAGGATCATGTGACACTGAAGAATGGAGTAATGGCTGCTGAAAATTCAGCTTCACCATCACAAAAATAAAATAAAATTTTAAATATATTGAAATAGATCTGTTAATTACAATTTTAATAATATTTCACAATATTGTGTTTCTACTGTACTTTTGATTAAATATACACAGCCTTGGCATAAGAGACATATTCAAAAAATCATACTGACCCCAATCTTTTGAATGGCAGTGTAAATATTAAAGTTAAAAGTCCATTTAATTATTATAATCAGAAAGCGGGTGGACAATGGTCATGTGAAAATAAATGATTAAAAATGTTAATAATCAATTAAAAACAAATTAAATTTTTGGCCTCAGAAACTTTTACAACATTCGTTAACTTAAAGGGGAAAAAAATTGTACAAAAGAAAGTGAAAGTGCTCCCTAAAGAGACAATATTATAAAAAATACTGCAAACTGAACCAGGTAATGAGACTTGCTTCTGCCTTTCTAGACAATTTTGTTCATATTTAATGAGAGTCTCTGCTGTGATGGATGAGAATTGTATTTATTTTTATTTTTTTGCAAAAGCAAATGTTGATTCTTTAGTCACTTTAAAATTAGTTGGTATTTTGATTAAATGTCAGGTCCTTTTTTGATGGAGATGGCTGGCTAGGAAAATGGCACAAAGCTTTAATTAGAGGATTTATTTCCATCTCTCGTCGTTTGATACATCCTAATCCTTCCCTTGAAGTGAAGCATTCTGAAATATTCACAAAAGATTTCTAGAGCACTTCCCTGAGAATAATAGAATGACGTTTTTCGTGTGAATACCTGTCAGTGTCCAGTGCTACAAGTGGCTTCTCATCTGGACTCTGGTCTAAGGATGAATAGCCTTTATTAGGGACAACCAACCTGTAATGAAAGTAGGACAAATGAAAGAGACTGTCAGACCAGTTCAATCAAAAATCTATGCTTGTACATCTATGCTTGAATATTAAAGGCACAATATGTCATTTTCACCGCTGGAGGGCGCATATTTAAAATAAACAAAGAGACAAAGGCGTAGTTAGATGACGCTGTGACTGAGTGTGGAATCATGGGAGTTGCCGTCTTCATCCCCACAGCCGAAGCAATCCAACGGGACTCAGGCAGAAATCATGTTCATGGATGAGCTAATGATTTATTAAGGTAGTAGAATGAAGCAGGGTGAGCCTGAAAGCCGTCGAAGCGAAACGAGGCCACTGAACGAGCGCGACACACGGCTCGAAAGCAGCGGAACTTTTATTATGCCACAGTCGACCGCTTCCACTCCTTCCGGTCGTGCGTATGTGGAAAAAAAAAGCAGCTCTTTTTTTTAATCATACTAGATAAATTTTTCTTTAATACTATTTTTAAGAAAAAATCTGCATAATAATATAGTGTGTGTGTGTATTTTTTTTTTTTATTAAAATAAAAAAATATATAAAATCAGATTGTAAACAACTAATGATAAGATACAATTTTATAACAAAAATGAAATGATAAAAATCCAAAACGTTCTTCTTTTTTTTTATACACAGGCACAATACCAGTAATATAAAAATAGCCCAATATAATCTAAATTATATCTCTCTCATTATTATAAACCTTCAAAAACAAAGGCAGCATTTTTTGGTTTTATTTGTAACTATTAACCTTTAATTTTAATATCCACTTTTCCCAAATCAATAAGTACTAGGACAAATCTGGCAAGGGAAATCATAAATAAGAGGCATGGCTGAGTTCAACATTATCAAACCCTGTTACATTAGCCAGAGCTGGCGCTAGACATCTTTTGTTCCTCTTCTCTGGGACAAAAGCTCAAGTTAATCTATGGCCCTCAGGCTTTTAAAGCAAGCAGCTAAACTTCAGGCCTAAAGCTGTGCTCTAAACCAGGCCTGCGGATGGGTCCTTGCATTTGAACTAATCCTGACAGGGCACTAGGGACCGGTGGGACGGCAGAAGTCCTCATACACACTGCACTAACACTAATTAACATTCATAGACTGTAAAGCCTTCATATAAAGCTGCTGTTTATAGGATTTGATGTTGTTGCTGTTCATATTTTAATGTACTAAACAAATCAACCATTATTATGAGGCCATACATTTGTTTTATAATATATATATATATATATATATATATATATATATATAATACAAACATATATGGTGTTTCTCATACTCAAATGTTTATTTTAAGAACTACTTGTGGGTTAAAGTTATTTCTCATGAAAATGAGAGTGTACCAAACCTCACCTTGTTCTGGCCATAACGTTATTTTTCTTGGGCTGCTGATTGACTGGACTACCCACAGTTCCGTTCTTCGCCGAGCCCTTCCTCGCAAGCTCTCGCTGTTTCTCTAACGAAAGAACAAAATTAAAACAAATGGCATTTGATAAATCTCCTATTGACTTACACTGATAAAACGTTCAGTATTCAAAACGTAACCAATAGTGATGGTGTGATCGTAATATTTGCATACGGAATTGGTATTGGTCTTCAGTCTCATAGCCATTTGCATACTGAAGACTGTCTTCCTTGCATACATTTATAACTGCAGTTATGCTTTGATTGTATTCTGTTGAATCCAGATAAATACCATGGCAACACACAAAGTTTTATTATGCGTTGAGACTACAGTCTTATTAATATTCCCCATTCTGCGTGGTTCTCTGGCTGGAGAACAGTTTCTTCAGGCGTGAAGTCTGAGCTTGACAAGCAGGTTTTTTCCTGTTACTGGAGGGGAAAAGGACTAATAATCAATATTTTAAATAAGCAACCACATGTGTGTCAATCAAATAGGATCTAAAAATTCAAGACCTTAAATGGACTTTATTTCTACCCCTCAAAGATTCTTTTTTTTTATGGGGGGATTATATTTCTTTTTTGTTGTTGGGATAATATTGATGGCCAATAATAATTTTAAAGTTATGGTTGCAGTGTTGTTACTGTTAACTAAGACTACAATTATTAAAAATTGCTTTACATCATTGAAATTCAGCTGCAATAATATAAAATATAAATATTAGGTGAAAAACTTTATTTAATTATTTGTTGTTTTAGCCATATATATATACATATATAACAATAATTTGTAATACTAAAATGACTAAAACTGAAATAAAAATAAATTAAAGCTAAATAGAAATGTAAAAATAATAATAAAAATAACAAAAGTGCAAAGCAAAATCAATAAAACGTAAACCTTAAATTTAAAACAAAAATATAAAAATAAAATAATATTGATAAATACTGTAATAGTATGTAAAATCAAACTTTTTTGGTTTGTTTGTTTTTTGGTAAACAGACTGCCAATAATTATTTTTATGTTATGGTGGATAAATGATATAACGGCTATTTATTATAAATGTATACGTTTTCCATTATACCAAATTCCAAATGATTATTAAATTATTACATTCATTATTAAATTATTCAATGTTACACAAAGTAGATTGCTTCAAATGAAATTGAGCATTAAAACTTTTTAATATTCAAAAAGATGGTCAAAAATATGGATGACTATTTGGGTGCAACAAATGACATAAGGATGTTTTTTGCAATTTACACAGAAATTAATTTAGCTCATATTTAAAATTTCCTTGTAGAATATGACAGCCCAAAAAAGCTCCACAATTGTATTTGAAAAGCAGTAGTTACTTTATCTGAGAGAAACATTCAGATTTGAAGACTCTCTTATTGAAAACCACAGTCATCCATTTCACACGGCCTACTGCTAATCGCTTCTTAGATCTCGCTCCAAAACGTATGCTTCACAATCACAGTATCAAGTGGGAAAATCAATTCAGTCGTTTTTACACTCAAATGGACAAATTACACTGGTGATGATATGGCATGTTATTCAGATCACTGGCTGAATGAGAAAGTGCCTTACCTATCTTCACTTGCAGTGGAGAGGGCTTGTAATTGATGGCGACTGACTCTGATTCTCTCGTTCCTGTTTCAGCCTCCAAAGTGGACGTTGCTGCAGGATCCTGGAGACAAAACCACAATCACACAGATGCAACACTACGTTCCCAAGTGCAGACGCTAGATATTAGCAATATGCAAAACTATACATTTCCAAAATTGACTAGTTGGCAAATGGATTTTGAGAAAGCTGTGTTTCCATATGAATTAAGAGTGTAAATCTAGAAAAGCCTTCCAAATCTGAAACAATGTAACGAAGGGCTCTCTCTGGTACAAAACCCCAACCATGCTCAATGTGCTGATGAAAAATAGACAGCAAAAATCAGACTGGTTGTAAATAATGGCATCTGGAGAGGCAGGGCATGTATCAAGGGTGTTGATTTTACTGGGGTTGAGTAAAATAACACGAGTCAGCACAATGTCAGCACGGCACGCTGTCACCAGAACGGGTCATTTTAATACATCTCTCTCAAAACGTCTCAGATTTGCTTTCACAGCTGTGCTCCAGCAACTTATCGATTCTGGGAGCAGAGATAGATGTAGGGCCTGTGCATTCGAAAACTCCCAATGTACTGTAAAGTTACTGGTTATCAGATGAATCCCAATTTTGTCTGAATTTATACAAGATTTTATTCCTAAAAACATGATTTTTTCTGGCAGTTGACAGTATTTTCTGATTCATGGAGTGATAAAAAGAGATATCCAAAATTCCATCTGTAAAAAAAACCTTTAACTCTAATGAAACAAAATGAAAGAAGAATTTTGAATCTGGCTTTATCAAATGTTCAGACTTCTCTTCTAGAAATGTATTATCTAATTAGTGCATATTTAATTAGATAATGTATCATTTGCATATTTAAACAGTAAATATCAGGAAACTTGTAATACTGTAAAAAAAAAAAAAACATGCAAATCTTAATGTAGTCAATGGGGGAGTATGAAAAATTTATACATTAATCTACTAGTTTATTTTTGGGATGTCTTGCCTTAAAACAATATTGAATAAATCTATTTTATTTTATTTTATTTTATATAGGCTATAGTATTGATGGCAAATAAATAAATAAATAAATTAAAATTAAAAACATACATTTATTATATAATTTATATTTGATAGAAATTTTTAAAAAAATCTAGGGTGATTTTTTTTTTAAAACATCTACATCTGTAGCGTAATATAAAAAATATGACAGGCCAGTAAAATATTAATAGTCAAAGGTCTCTTAAAATATGTAAGTCTTGAGTTTTTATTACAAATACATTTCTTTTGGAAATATTCACAATACTAATTGCACTAAAGTTAGACTGATGGATAGACAAATCTTACTGTCTTGTTGTCCAATATAAAATTTGCAAGCCTTCATTACTACTCAAAGTCTGGGTTCCATTGGTTGAGAGATGGATGAAGGAGAGATTCTAGCTGTCATAGTAACTGGCTGGTACTTCCTGCATAGTTGGCTCGCATGACACCAGGCATGTTTTGTTGCTCCAGCTTTAAATACGTAGGGTCTGAGTGCTCTGTGACATCACTCGAGACGGGGAGAGGCAGAACAGAGGGAGCTTGTTGGAGGAAATGTTGAGAGCACACCCAAGCTGCCTCTGCCAACAGAGCACCTATTATGACCTAAAAAAGCCTGCCTTCATTGGATGCGCACCATGTGGCCATTTGAGAGTCTTTGGGGCCGTCATCGTGAGCCACTAGAGCCATGCGATTATAGCAATGCTATGTTTTTGGTACAGTTCATGACACACCAGATGACTAACTGAAGTGTCAGACTACAGCCAAAAGAAAGTCTGGTGATCAGTAGATACAGCATGGTGTTACACAATACTGAAAGGACTTAACGTTTTGAACTTTTTGATGCCAGACACCCAAACATGATGATACCCTTGCTAGGATCCCCTAATCCTAAAACAAAAAGGATTACATAATGCTACATAATTTAATGTGCAAAAACTATTGGATATGGATGGATGGATGGATGGATGGATGGATGGATGGATGGATGGATGGATGGAGATGGGTGGATGGATGGATGGATGGATGGATGGGTGGATGGATGGATGGATGGATGGATGGGTGGAGATATGGATGGATGGATGGATGGATGGATGGATGGATGGATGGATGGATGGATGGATGGATGGATGGATGGATGGATGGATGGATGGATGGATGGATGGATGGATGGATGGATGGATGGATGGATGGATGGATGGATGGATGTTAAAATATTTAGAACATAAAGATTATATATTATATAATAAAAACTATATATATAGAGAGAGAGAGAGAGAGAGACTACTAAAAAGCTATATAGAAATATTTATATTATAGAAATAGACAAAAGGATATATAGCACATAGCAAAACTACTAAAACTACAATCAAAATGAAAACTACATATAAATTAAAACTATTATAAACACACATTACTATAATAGTATATAAATAATAGTAAAATAACACTGATACACAGATTTACATTTTTTTGTACTTTTCCACTAACCACCTATCAACAATATCAATATCAAATGTCTGACATCAACAAAACAAACATGCTTAGCTCATGTTAGCGATGACTAAATGACGCTAAAACCTTTGGAGGGGTCACTGGATATAAAGAATGACCTGTATCATCAAGAAATCCACTTGTGGAACAAACATGAAGTAGACTTGTTGTTGAAGGAAACCTCATTGTCCACTGGTTCGGTCGTGGCATAGTGCCAGCTATAGGCCTGGCAGGGCTCTCACAAACCCTTTAAGCTCAGCACCAGCTAAAGAGACCAGCAGGGGATTGTGGGTAATAGCCCAGCAGGATACCATCAAGCTCTTGAAGCATCTAATCATATGCCGGGCATGAAGTACATTGTCATTCATCTTTATCTCCAGCTGTTGCTCGTCCACAATATAATTTTCATTTTTTTCGAGCATCAGGACACACCTTCAAAGCAAGGAGGTAATGCTTCAGATCAACATAAATTTTAAAATGCTATTTGTCTTTGTACTTTGTGGTCTACAAAGGACTCTGTTGAGTAAGCCAATGCTATTGAGCTTTTCAGACAGCCTTTGCTAGACTACATAGGCTACACAAATCTCAGAGCAACACCTCAAAGAACATCATCAAAGTCATGCATATTCCACAAGCTACATGTACAACTGCCTGTGAAATTTATGCAAGATCTACTGGAGAAAACCAAGAGAAGTGAAGCCTCAGAGCACTACAGAACCCAATCTGATGCAACCCTAATCTCTGGTCTCATTGTTTAAAGCTGATTTAGAACAAGATTAAAGTGATCAGAAATCTATAGGAACTGAAACACATAAGCAAGTCTGCATTGATCTAGAGCAGTCCAAGACTCACACATCCACAGAAGAAGAAAAAAAACAGAAAAAAAACAAGATTACTATGACGAATCCATTGAAACACTGTACACCTGTAGGTCTTGTGTTAAATCTCTCACATGGACTAATGTTTGTCCTCAAGGACTTTAAAATGGATGTCAATGTGAAGGTCAATTTTTAACATCAGTAAAGATTTTAGATTATATATAGATTAATGGCATCATGTGGGACCTTATGATCTGAACTCCAGGATCTTTCTATGGATGTCAATCATGTCAATATGGCCTGTTGGTGATGAAGGAGATGAAGATGAGTGAATGCTAACACAGCTGAGGCGATGAAAAGGATTGGTGGGATAATATGGCAAGATGTACTTTGGACCAATCACAGCAAAGCATGATCCATAAGGTGACTACCAGGTGATATTGGTTAATCAGATAACCAACAATAACCAACAGATTAAAAGGGATGGGATGGGTTCTTCTACTTAAATTTCCCACTGATTTACAGGGTATTTAATGGTTAGGTTTTGTGTCAGGACAATGTTTGTTTGACAGGAATGTTGTTCTAGAACCAACAAAAGATGCTGATCCTGGAAAACGGCCTACTTGGCAAAATTACAGTCACCGCAAACTGACTCTGGCACTGTGGCAGCTTACTGTCATTGTTGCCATCATTTTATCCACATGTCAATTGGAAATTAAAATTAGTCATTGTTTTTTTTTTCTTCTAATTATTTATGTGACCTGATAGACTGCATCTTCATCTCTCTATAGACGAAGGTGATGAGTACAACAAATCAGAAAGCCATTAACTACTAAATCCCTAAAAGGAAGGAGTTTTCTTCTCTGAAAAACAGGAGCCATGTTGCAGTGGGTTTATGTCCTTTTCTGCCCACAGAAGAATGAATTAGCATGAGGAAGCACAGTTTGTTGTATAGGGTAACAGCTGGGTCTTTGGCACTTTGGGAATAGTGGGGCGCCAATGAAAAAATAATGACATTATCACTCCGGGCCATATCTCACCAATCCAGCATATTCTAAAGCGCACACTTCAGACCTACCAGATAATGCAGGCCTACTAACTGAATGAAAACATTTTTACTTCCCTGGAAATCAATGTGTTTACGCAAGCTCTGAAACAAATAAGACATTCAGGAAATTCAAGATGTACGTGTCTGCTACTACTGTCTGATTGGGTTGACGAGTTCAAATCCACTCAAGTCAAGTACTTTCCGGCCTGTATTGTTTGTAATTATCATCCTTGTGCTTAAGTTCTACAGCATTGTGTTTATTTAACAAATTATTCTAACTGTTATTTTATTTTTAATTGCATTTAATGTACAAATTCTAATTCAATTTCAGCTTAAAATAATGATGTATCATCGTGTGGCCCTGACATTGGCACAAAAAGAACATTCCAGTGCAGTTAATTTGTAACATTTTCGCTATTCGGTTTTGTAAAGTAACTTAATTTCACATAATTACTTAAAGGGATAGTTCAACCAAAAATGAAAATGTGATGTTTATCTGCTTACCCCCAGGGCATCCAAGATGTAGGTGACTTTGTTTCTTCAGTATAACACAAACGGAGTTTTTTAACACAAACTGTTGCAGTCTGTCAGTCATATAATGGAAGTGAATGGGAATCACGGCTTTGAGAGTTAAAAAACATACACAAACAAAACCAAATTAAACCCTGCGGCTCATAATGATACTTATAATGCACTTATAATTCTGCAATCCGCCATAAAGCAAGAAGAAGAAGAAGATGCGAACACGCTCTGGACAGTTCGGACATTGCGGTGAATCAGAGGTAAAAAAACTATATAAATACTGTTCAGTTTGTTTTGCACAGACTGATTGTTTCGTGTCTTTACACATCAATGTATCGTCACGAGCCGCAGGGTTTAATTTGGTTTTGTTTGTGTATGTTTTTTAACTCTCAAAGCCGTGATTCCCATTCACTTCCATTATATGACTGACAGACTGCAACGGTTTGAGTTAAAAATCTCCGTTTGTGTTCTACTGAAGAAACAAAGTCACCTACATCTTGGATGCCCTGGGGGTAAGCAGATAAACATCACATTTTCATTTTTGGGTGAACTATCCCTTTAAATGATACAAGTGAGAGCTCATTAATTTGGTTCTAGCGATTCATTTGAACAATAACCGCCTTTTCCAATCCGATTCATAGAGAGTCGGACTGATTCAATCCGATTAATGAATAAAACGCGCAGACCGATTCATTGAAAAGCTCCCATTCAAAAGAACGATGCATTCACGAATCAGACACCTAATTAAAAAAACAGCCATTTCTGTCAGTCAAAAATAATATCACATATATATAACTTGTGTGAGCTTTAATTTTGTCTAATTAAGGCAGGTTTACGAACATTTAAACACAACTGAGTTAATGTCAGCACCATGACAACTGGCATAGTATCAACATATAGTTGGATATGTCGGTTTTGTCTAAATAAACCTACCGATCCTAGATGACATCTGGTAATGTACCAGCGTTTGTGAGCCAGGTTAATTGAGGTAATACAGAATTACTACCTTCTCACACAGTGTCATTTCCCACGGCCTGTAAAGGTACACATTGTTATTCTCCATGTAGTGAGAGTGAGTGACACTTACCAGCAGCTTCGTCTCTGGATTTACTGGTGGTACTTGAAATTTGTCAATTTCTTCCATCATTTTGATAAAACGTCAGTCTTGTAAAGTAAAGCACAAATGCTCAAGGTGATATCCTAATTGAAAAACGCATTTATTCACTGTCTGGAATGGTTCAAAGATGCCGAGTTCTCCAGGACCATCTCTAGTTGTTTTCTGCTATCTGGCTATTACCAGTCAGGGGTGACTCAACAGCAACATCTGACTTCCGGGTCCGGAACCCCACCCATAATGACGAGAAGATGAATAATTAATGAGCCTGAAACCACCAGCTCCTGTGAGATAAGGTAGATTCGCAGATCAAAAGCAGCCCAGCAAATTTTAGGATTACTGGCAAATGAAATACGAAAATCGGGAAGATACTGGTACCATAATAATTTAATACTCCTACAAGTGCTAAAATATTACTTTTATAGTTTATTATTATCTATACATACTGGTAAAAAAAAACAAATGTATAGCCTGAATGCACTGTAAGTCGCTTAGGATAAAAGCGTCTGCTAAATGCATTAATTTAATTTAATTTATAAAAAATAAATTGTTTATTGTGATCAATACTGTGGTTTTGTTTTATATTTGTAAATCAGGTTTTAAAAAAAAGGCAAGTGGCAACTGTTGTTGTTCTTGTTTGTCTCAAAAACACTTTGCATGTGTCAGCTTTTATGAAACGTTGAAAGACAAGTGTCGCGCTATCACCATCTTGTGGTGTTTTAGGCCGCTTTTAGACTGGCTCAAATTACGCCTTTGAATGACTTTTATTTTGAAACAACCTCCACAAGAATCCAGTCAAGTCTCTTCAGCGGTCTGCAGCAAACATTGATTTTGTGCTAAAGATGTGAAATGAGCTTTATTTATATTGTGGAAAACATTATAATAAAAAAATAATAAGTACGAAAACAATAAGAGTAATAACAGAAAAAACTAAATATTTTATGAACATTTTGATACGTTTTAATGACATTTTTAATGATATTTTCATTGGTTTAAACAAAACCCGAATATGAATATAAAAATGTTATATTTATTTATTTAAAATGTATTTATTGAATTATTTATTCGCATATAGGCATTTTTCAACGCTTTTATTTTGAAAGCTAACTCAGTTTTTAGGCTTCTTCACATGTTGCTGTAGCCTGTTTGTGGGCTCACACAGACGCTGAAACCAAATAATAGAGAGCATTTCCACAACTTGTTTATAGTTTCAGCTCGAACAAATATTACCACTGGAATGTCGTTCAACAGAGATTCTAAGCTTCGTTTGTATCCTTGACAACACATGCAGCTTGGGCCTCTATTATGTCTATGCTCTGTTAGGCTTGGTTTATAAGGACGCCGTTGCTATAGACAGCGTACAGGCGATTTCCTCCAATCACGAACACGCACTTGCAACGAAACCATTTGAATCAGCCAATCAAATGAAAGACCGATTATCCACCTGAAGAATGGGGTTTCGAGTTTCGAGACTCTGGGATGACACGAAAACTGAAGTAGTTCGCAACTATTTTAATGTACATTTTACCCGTGTCGACGACGTTTGAATGTTTGTAATTTCGCATGGTAAGCTGGTTTGCAAATAAATACGTTTCGCTTGATGTTTAACGACTTTGTATTGTAGACTTCTTCAAACGATACTTATACTGATTGATGGACAATTCTCCTGCTCTATTTGCAGCTTCTCTGTCTTACTCATGATGTCTGTGTTGTGTTTTTGTACCTTGAAAGCTAGTTTCTGCTTCCTTAGCAGGTTAATTGCCTGTTAGCTTGCAGCTCAGTGTCCTATTTGGCTTCCATTCACTTCTGAATCCATTGTTGATGTAATGGTGGATATATTGAATATACTTGCATGTATTGAATTGTTGTTGTCACCTTTATATTAAGCCAGATGTCAGTCATGATTATAAGAGGGTCTGTTGTGGTGGTCTCGGTTTACCTCTGAGTCTTCTGAAACGTGACCTGAAGATGTGTGACCAGTAAAATGATACTTCAGACATGTGTTCTCTGATCCATAAACAAAGACTGGTACTTTACTTGAGTAGTTAGTGTGTAGTTGTGACTGTATGAATTTTATTATAAAATACTAAAATAATTGAAGCGGTATATATTCATTTAAAAAAAAAATGTTTATGTGAGTTTATATACCCTTTTTTATTTATTTTGTTATTTTAAATGTGTTAGATCATCAGACATGCCATTTTTAAGAGCATAAATATAGAATTCAGCCTACTTATTAATATCAAGGATGTAGATCGTGTATATTAATAATTATGACAATGCATTACGTGTTAAATAGGTAGGTGATATGACGTACAGGATTGTATGTTGCTTAGTTAAGTTCTAGCTGTCGGTTGAACAATTTACAATCTGGACGGTTTAGAAAAATGAATTTACATAGGCACGCTTATTGGTATTTATCTTTTTTTATGCAGAGAAAATCAACGACAAACTCTTCTTCCCCACCTCTGCATGTGCATGTGAACGAGACCATACCTGTGCATGTGCATGTGAAGAAGAGCACAAAATGCAGCCCTACCAAGACAGCCCAGGTATAACATCAGCTTGCAGTCTGTGCATAGACACCATCCTCAAAATATCCTTGCATATATAATTACAATGAATATTACGCAAGAATAAAGAAATGTCTACAGAGGTGTGCAGCTTCAGTTCTTTTAATGCTGCTTAGAAATACTCCAAAGATCCATGAGACCCATCTCTCACCGTGTATGTCTTTTATGTTCCAGGTTAAAACAAAAAGTAGCTTGCATCCTACTGCTAAGGTGAAGACGAGGGTCCCATGGATCCCACCTGGCAAGGTCTCAACACGAGAGACCCCATTTAAGTGGGAGGTCAGTCAAATATTACAAATACATTCCCATTTGTGCATATTTCATGTAAAATAATACACACTATGCAGTCCTTTGTAGAAGTGATCAATATTGTGTTATTTCTTATTATGATGTTTATGTATATTTTAGGGACCATCTCATTGTCTGGAGATAACACCTCCACAGGAACCAGAACGCTCCCAGTCTCCTCTCCGAATAGAAGATCTCTCCACTGATGAAGAAGAGGCACTGCATGGACGCATCAATCAGTACGAGAGGAAGATCGACAGCCTGATGACAGAGGTCAGCTCTCTGAAAAATGAGGTGAGAAATAAGTGATTGGAGAAATTATATCCCAGGAAAATTTCATTCAGCAATTAGAAACAAACTTTTTAAAGTAAACGCATACAGTGGGGAAAAAAAGTATTTAGTCAGCCTCACATGTTGCTGTAGCCTGTTTGTGGGCTCACACAGACGCTGAAACCAAATAATAGAGAGCATTTCCACAACTTGTTTATAGTTTCAGCTCGAACAAATATTACCACTGGAATGTCGTTCAACAGAGATTCTAAGCTTCGTTTGTATCCTTGACAACACATGCAGCTTGGGCCTCTATTATGTCTATGCTCTGTTAGGCTTGGTTTATAAGGACGCCGTTGCTATAGACAGCGTACAGGCGATTTCCTCCAATCACGAACACGCACTTGCAACGAAACCATTTGAATCAGCCAATCAAATGAAAGACCGATTATCCACCTGAAGAATGGGGTTTCGAGTTTCGAGACTCTGGGATGACACGAAAACTGAAGTAGTTCGCAACTATTTTAATGTACATTTTACCCGTGTCGACGACGTTTGAATGTTTGTAATTTCGCATGGTAAGCTGGTTTGCAAATAAATACGTTTCGCTTGATGTTTAACGACTTTGTATTGTAGACTTCTTCAAACGATACTTATACTGATTGATGGACAATTCTCCTGCTCTATTTGCAGCTTCTCTGTCTTACTCATGATGTCTGTGTTGTGTTTTTGTACCTTGAAAGCTAGTTTCTGCTTCCTTAGCAGGTTAATTGCCTGTTAGCTTGCAGCTCAGTGTCCTATTTGGCTTCCATTCACTTCTGAATCCATTGTTGATGTAATGGTGGATATATTGAATATACTTGCATGTATTGAATTGTTGTTGTCACCTTTATATTAAGCCAGATGTCAGTCATGATTGTAAGAGGGTCTGTTGTGGTGGTCTGGGTTTACCTCTCTGATAGTCTTGAGCACTGTCCTCTGAAACATGACCTGAAGATGTATGAGCAGTAAAATGATCCTTCATGCATGTGTTCCCTGATCTATAAACAAAGACTGGTACTTTACTTGAGTAGTTAGTGTGTAGTTGTGACTGTATGAATTTTATTATAAAATACTAAAATAATTGAAGTGGTATATATTCATTTAAAAAAAAAAATGTTTATGTGAGTTTATATACCCTTTTTTATTTATTTTGTTATTTTAAATGTGTTAGATCATCAGACATGCCATTTTTAAGAGCATAAATATAGAATTCAGCCTACTTATTAATATCAAGGATGTAGATCGTGTATATTAATAATTATGACAATGCATTACGTGTTAAATAGGTAGGTGATATGACGTACAGGATTGTATGTTGCTTAGTTAAGTTCTAGCTGTCGGTTGAACAATTTACAATCTGGACGGTTTAGAAAAATGAATTTACATAGGCACGCTTATTGGTATTTATCTTTTTTTATGCAGAGAAAATCAACGACAAACTCTTCTTCCCCACCTCTGCATGTGCATGTGAACGAGACCATACCTGTGCATGTGCATGTGAAGAAGAGCACAAAATGCAGCCCTACCAAGACAGCCCAGGTATAACATCAGCTTGCAGTCTGTGCATAGACACCATCCTCAAAATATCCTTGCATATATAATTACAATGAATATTACGCAAGAATAAAGAAATGTCTACAGAGGTGTGCAGCTTCAGTTCTTTTAATGCTGCTTAGAAATACTCCAAAGATCCATGAGACCCATCTCTCACCGTGTATGTCTTTTATGTTCCAGGTTAAAACAAAAAGTAGCTTGCATCCTACTGCTAAGGTGGGTCCCATGGTCCCATGGATCCCACCTGGCAAGGTCTCAACACGAGAGACCCCATTTAAGTGGGAGGTCAGTCAAATAACATTCCCATATTCCCATTTGTGCATATTTCATGTAAAATAATACACACTATGCAGTCCTTTGTAGAAGTGATCAATATTGTGTTATTTCTTATTATGATGTTTATGTATATTTTAGGGACCATCTCATTGTCTGGAGATAACACCTCCACAGGAACCAGAACGCTCCCAGTCTCCTCTCCGAATAGAAGATCTCTCCACTGATGAAGAAGAGGCACTGCATGGACGCATCAATCAGTACGAGAGGAAGATCGACAGCCTGATGACAGAGGTCAGCTCTCTGAAAAATGAGGTGAGAAATAAGTGATTGGAGAAATTATATCCCAGGAAAATTTCATTCAGCAATTAGAAACAAACTTTTTAAAGTAAACGCATATATACACTATAGTGCAATTTGGGGACTGTACGTTTTTTTTTTATGGTTTTGTCTCTAATAACAGTCAAGGCTGCATTTATTTGATCAGATATTGTGAAATATTATTAAAACTAATAAAAATGTTTTTAATATAGTATAAAATGTAATTTATTCCTGTGAATTTTCAGCAGCCATTACTCAAGTCTTCAGTGTCACATGATATTTCATAAAACATTCTAATATGCTACTTTGGTGCTCAAGAAACATTTATTATTATTATCATCAATGTTGAAAACAGTTGTGCTGCGTAATATGTTTGTGGAAACCATTACTGTCATGTTTGATCAATTTAATGCATCCTGGCTGAATTCAATTAAATGTGTTAATTTCATAAATCTTGCTGACCCCAAATTATAAAAATATGATTATTTTGCTCTCTCTCACACACACATACACATACGTACATATATATATATATATATATATATATATATATATAAATAGAACAGGGAATAGCAGATTGAATAGTTTGTCATAATAGTTAATGCGGTACACATGTGAAACAAATAAAAGTGTGTGATGTTTGTGTTTGCAGGTGGAGCTTCGTAAGAAGGAGCAGCTGCTAGAGCGTCAGTCGGAGAGGTTGAGCGCATCACAGCGTGTCATCGCTGAGCAGGAGGAGGAGCTTGCAGAGGTCGCCCGGGAGCTGGAGGCCACAGAGCAGGAGAACTCCCGTCTACGGGAGTCCATGGAAAAGATGCTGGAGGGGAATGATTTTGGGAGGTATAATGAAAACAATGACATTTTTGTTATTATGTATACACATTTCAGATACATTTTAAGCCATTTCTTCTTGTCTAGATTAGAGAGGGACAGTTTGCAGCCAGACAAAGATGTTCTACTCAGGAAGCTGCTGGAAGCAGAGATGGACAGCAGTGCAGCTGCCAAGCAGGTGTCGGCCCTCCACGAAACGGTCAGCCATGTGTCCAGGAGTGCGAGTGTGAGCAAAATACACCTTTCAAAACAATTCTAGAACTTCTAGAACTAGAATTTTTCAGAACATTGAAACCAGTTTATCATAACCTGTCTTGAAAAAAAGAGCCAGAAACAGATATGCATTAAATATATTTTTTTTACCTTTGTCCAGGAAAAAAAGATGTCAGGATCAGATTCAACGCTCTTGACCCGACAGAAAGAGCTCTTGCTGCAGAAGCTGGAGATTTTCGAGATACTCAGGAAGCTGCTGGAAGCAGAGATGGACAGCAGTGCAGCTGCCAAGCAGGTGTCGGCCCTCCACGAAACGGTCAGCCATGTGTCCAGGAGTGCGAGTGTGAGCAAAATACACCTTTCAAAACAATTCTAGAACTTCTAGAACTAGAATTTTTCAGAACATTGAAACCAGTTTATCATAACCTGTCTTGAAAAAAGAGCCAGAATCAGATATGCATTAAAAATATTTTTTTACCTTTGTCCAGGAAAAAAAGATGTCAGGATCAGATTCAACGCTCTTGACCCAACAGAAAGAGCTCTTGCTGCAGAAGCTGGAGATTTTCGAGAGCACTAACAGAGCCCTCAGACATCTTCTGAGAGAACAGCATAGTCGAGAGGTGCTGCTCTTCACAAATTCAAAGAATATTATTAGACAATTGCATTTTATTGTACTTAAAACAATAAAAGGTTATTAAGCTTTTCTTAACTACTTTGTTTTGTAACAGATGGACTCACTAAGACTCTTAGAGCAGACAGACGTGCTTCTGAAAAAACTTTCTGATGTTGAAGCAGAAAATTCGGTTTGTGTTGTTTGCATGTTGCACTGTAAACAGGTGTTTTTAATTTCTTAGTTTTATCACTGAACTCCTTTCTGTCTTCCAGCGTATACTTGTAAAGCTTCAGGACAAAGAGAGAGAGATTAACCAGCTCACTTCCTTGTTAGAAAGCGAAAAGGTAAACTGTATTTTTAAACATGGTTTTTAGACATGACGGTCAATTATTTGAATTGAATATGAATTCCCATTGTAACAGGAGAGTGCAAAGACCACCAGTGAACTGTCCAAAGTCTTGGAGTCCACTCGAGCACATCTGCAGGGTCAACTACGCAATAAAGAGGCAGAAAATAACCGTCTAAATGTTCAGATCAGGGTAATGCATTCAGCAGTGGCTGACAGCTTCTTGGTATTCAAGCAACATGTGCCACTCTTTGTTTTTTTTGTGTTTATTTTACAAAACATGTCTAATTGCTAACTTAATAATAACTTTAAATAATGAAGCATATATGGTATATTAAATGTATAAAAATTGTGTCCATTTGGTTTAGAATCTAGAGCGCTCCATCAGCCAGCAGCAGGGGGAGGTAGAACAGCTACAGAATCAGTTGCAAGGCCTCAGGCAGCAGGTGGAGGCTGATAAGGAGGCCCTGAAAAAAGCCACGCGGGCACAGAAACAGCGGGCACAGCGCAGTGAAGGCACTGTGGGACAGCTCAGTGCCCAGCTCTTGGAGATAGTGAGTTGAATGAGCTAAATGTGTACGTTTACACAGGTTCTTAAAATAACAGTTTGCTACGATAAATGTTTCAAGCAGTATGCGGTTGAAAAAAAAAAGCACAGTAAATTGCAACTGATATCATTTCTGGTTCATTCATGACTCTGGAAATGGAAGGCTTACTATGTACAGTTATGTTCAAATGTTCAATGTACAGTAAGTTTTTTTTAAACGTAATGCTTTTATTCAGCAAGAATGCATTAAATTGATTGTAAGTGACAGTAAAGACGTTTATAATACTATAAAAGTTTTTTTAATATATATATATATATATATGTATAAAATAATTTCTGTTCTTTTGAACTTTCTAATAATCAACAAATCCTGAAAAAAAAAAATCACTGGTTGCACAAAAAATATTAAGCTAGTTTTTAACATTGATAATAATATGAAATGTTTGAGCAGCAAAATCAGCATATTAGAATGATTTATTTAAGGAATGAATTACATTTTCATATATATTCAAATAGAAAAAACTTATTTTAAAATGTAATAATATTTCACAATAACATCGTTTTTACTTTATTTTTTTTTTATCAAATAAATGCAGCCTTTTTGAGGAAAAACTATTCACAGCCCCCAAACTTTTGAATGCTAGCTTAGATTTTGTGTCATTTTTCTATGACAGTATATGATATAAAAATATAAAATTATCTTCACAGGAAGCACAGTTGGCAGATGCTGTGTCAGCCGCAGAGAACTGGAGCAGTCGCCACACAAAAGAGATAAAGGAAAGAGGACAGCTAGAGATGGAGATCACATTGTTGAACAGGTCAGCAGTGATTTGTGTCCTTTGTATGATAATGCAAATCATAATTCTGAAAATATTTAAACCTAGAGAGCCTCCCAGAAAGCCATGCAAACCATTTGCATTTGTTCTTTTAGCCGTATTACAGACCTTACGGAACAGTTGCATGGGCAGGAAGAGAAAGCCCGAACAGATAGAGATGGCCTTTTAGATCGCCTTCATGAGCTCAATACAGAGCGCACTACTATACGCCTGGAGAACCAGAGCCTTAAGGTTTGTCTGTTTGCATCTGTACTGTCCAAATCTCCAATTTGTGCTTTTTTTTTTTTTTACAATTGATAACCAGTCTCATTTTATCCATAATCCCTCAATGATCGTTATTGCCTATATATTAAAATATGGTAAATGAATACAAATGAAAGCTGATTTGTTGTGATTGTACAGGCCACTTTGCCTGCCTTGGAAGAGAAGTTGACGTTGTCCCAGTCTGAGGTCCAGCAGGTTAAAGTTTCAGTGAAACAGTATGAGAGCTTGGTGGACAGCTATAAAGCCCAGGTGTGATCATCATTCTCTAACTTACTCATTGATTAAGATTATGAATTCCAGATACTACTCTTTGCTCAAAAGTTGGGATTTATTAAGATTTTCAAAATGTTTTTGAAAGAAGTCTCTTATGCTCACCAAGTGTATTTATTTGATTAAAAAATCAGTAATATTGTGAAATATTATTGAACTGTTTTCTATTTTAATATATTTTAAAATGTAATATATTCAACATTAATAATAAAAAAAAAGTTGAAAATTTTGAATGCCAAATCAGCAGCATAGAATGATTTCTGAGGGATCATGTGACACTGAAGACTGGAGAAATGGCTGCTGAAATTCCGCTTTGCATCACAAGAATAAACTATATTAAAATGGAAAACACTTATTTAAATTTCAATAATATTTCACAATAGTATTATTTTTACTGGGCCAGAGTTTTAACCAATTGTGCATATCCAAATTTTGGCATAAAATAGTTTCTCATCACATGTACGTTTTGGGAGTGTGTGTGTGTGTGTATTTATTTTGTCCATCTTTAAACTCTGCTCTGTTTCTTTGAATTCATAGGTTCGGAAGACCCGTGCTGAAGCAGATGAGTTCTCTGCACGTCTGCAGGTGGCTGAAAGTGAAGCCCAGGCTGTAAGAGATGAGCTAGACCAGGAGATCCAGAAGGTCAGGAAGCAGCTTCAAGGCCGTTTGACGGAGCTGGAGCCACTTCCTGAAGCTCTGAGA